TAAGCATGACATGGCAACATTTTGCCATCCAAGCAGCCAAGCGGGTGTGTCCCAAACGGCAGTTAAGCCAAGCGACGGAGTCCCAAAGGACAGTGAAGTTGGCGTAAGAAGAAGGGCTTAATTGCTTTGATCCAAGAGTTCAAGGGATTATATGCATCAATTAAAGTCTAAGGGCTTAATAGCAATTCTGGGATTCGTTCAGGGGCTTAACTTATAGTTTTGCCATTATTGAATCTACGAACTGTTCGCTGCACTCAGTGAGTCTCTAAATGGTCGCGTGACGAATTTTTATTTTTAAAAAATCTTTTTAAAGAACAATAGGCTGCCCCAGACCAATCAGGGGGGTACAGCTAGCACTGCTCTTTGAATCCATTCATTAAATTCACATATTGCTCCTGCGGCACTGATTTGCGTGCACCTGCCATTTAGTGTACATTTTCACGTTACATTGAGTGTCTGGTTCTAAATATGGATCTTATCTACCCTCTTTTATTTTCCCTGTCTGCATTTGCTTCATCCTCCATTTAAGGGTGATTATGATTACATAATAATATGGTAAAATTATTTTTCTTTTTAATAATTTATAATTATTTACAAGATTAATTGAGAGAAAAGGGAAAAAAGTTCCGTGGGGTTTGAACATGCAATCCAGAGAAGTGGAGAGTTCTAATTCAAGATCAAATATCATTAGATTGGAGCGAGCTGTTCATATGATAAAATTATTTAAATTTTTTAAATTAAAATTAATATTTAATTAATTTATAATTTTTTAATTAATTATAATACATAAAATTATGTAATAAATATAAACTATTTATAATAATTAAATCACGCAAAATCTCTATTTTTACCAACAATGGTAATGAGTTTGTGTCCCCTTCACACATTAGACAGTATCCGTAACCACACCATCACCAGACTTCTCCCCAACTATCTGTTTTGTTTACCTCCATTTTTTCTCTTGATATATATTTCCTTCCTTCCTTCTCAGTCTCGGAAAAATCCTTTCCCTTACTTCCTCTCCCCTAAACATGGAAAATCCACTCCAAAGAAAACCCACTAAAAGATCCAAACAGAAGAAAAAGCCTGTAAGGGTTGTGTACATATCCAACCCCATGAAGATCAGGACCTGCGCCTCCCGATTCAGGTCCCTGGTACAAGAGCTTACGGGTCAGGATGCCGAATTGCCCAACCGCACTAAATTTATGGATGCTGATGATGACGTTGATAGCAATCAGACGACCCCCGACGCTACTAAAATAGTTGGTGATGATCGTGGGGCGGTGGTTCCCACTGTGGTAGAAGCCGAGCAGGAGAAGGCAGCGGAAAGGAATAATGATGGCGATTTGGACGATGATTTTACTCAGCTTCTGGAGAATTTAGCACCAATCTTTTATTACGAGTCTGTTCACACAGATATCCCCAGGGATTGGTGATCTGAATGAAACACTACTCAATTTCCAAAGAAGGTCACATGGGTAAATTCTCACAAGTTTTTAAGTTCTAACGTGGATCATCTGCCTACCTTATAACTAAGTAGGAACTACATCATTAAAATATCTAGCATCGATGCTTGACTCATTTGTGTAAAAGTCCAGTGACCTCTTCTGTTATTGTGTATGATAAACATTTCTTTGCATGGTTTATATGTAATCATGAATGTTTGTTTCTTATGACGATTTTTTTCCTTCTTTTTTGCATTTCGACAGTTTTATTTGACTTTAATTTTATTCATGGTATCATTAGGTTTATGTTTAATTGTCTGTGTGTGATCCACTGATGATTAAGGAAAAATGACTAAGGAAAGATCTATGAAGGTGAAATTGAAAGTGCATTTGAGATAAAAAATTTTAAAGTACTGATATAAATGCTTAATTACGATTAGGAGCTGTCAAATGTAAATTTAAGTTCACAAAATGAAATAATTGCAATACTTCTTGATAAACTAAAATGGGTAGTTAGAAGCTAGCTTCTGCTAGAAAAATTTTGTCCTCTTCTTCTTCTTCTTCTTCTTCTTCTTCTTCTTCTTCTTCTTCTTCTTCTTCTTCTTCTTCTTCTTCTTCTTCTTCTTCTTC